ATATATTGTATATATTGCGATTCATTTTGAGGACAATGAAGAAGATGGTTTTACGGGTAACTAGATCTACAACCGGCGCTCGGCTGGCTTGCGAACAGAACAAGTTTGCCCGTGGATGGGGCGCTTGATCGGGAAGGGGTGGCAAAGGTGGGGGTGATGCGGATGGCTGGGGCGCAGAGGTTATAAATCGCCTGCGCATAATCAGGTGAGCGCAGGGCTTTACCACGTGTCGAGCGTTGTTTATATCGCAGTTTAATTCACTGCCCGGCCACGAGGGGGCGTTAGGCTGTCGCCCACTACGTCGGCGTCATCCCCCCAACTGGGCGGTTTTAGCCGTCGGCAAGCTTTATTCTGCTCATGAAAATGTGTGTTCTTTTACTTTCTCGCTCCCGCATAGGCAGTAGAGAGAATGTTATGTAATTCTTCGCGAAAAACCGGCAAATTTTCGGAAGAGAACTCTTATCTCAGAAATGTGGTAACGAAAAAGTGGATAAATACAGTGGCTAAATTTATATAATTAACACGTGGTGTAGCCAGGATCCCTATTTTGTGGGTCCTGATACCGAAAAATCGATGGACGTCAGAACGTCTGTCCGTTCATCAGTGAGCAACGCTAGCAGTTCTGCAGATTTTCTCCAAATTTGATATTCCGACTGATGTCACGTCCCCTTGAACATCAAACTGATATTTTAATTTTGGGGGGTATTTTACACAAAATCCCTGGAATCTTTTCAAAATTTACAAAAAGTTCCAAGCTTTTTGTAAAAGTTTGTTTTTGGATGCTGTGAAATACGTTTAAGAGTATGATGCACGGCTCATTGGTGTTGAAAATTATGATTTTTCAATAATTGAAAAAAGTTCACTAATGTTCACATCTTCCTACATCTAAAATATTAAAGATACAAACTTTTTCCTTGCATAAAAAATTGTTCTAAAGATGGACTTTGAAATAAAGTCAAGTACAATTTTTCGAAAATATAAGTTCTATTCCCATAATTTTGCGTAAAAGTACGGGCTAGAAAGTACGTGCTGTTTTAGCTCCACAAGTTTCATATTCTTCGCTGCAGGTTAGCAGATTTGAATAAAAAAGTTCAGGTTTACTTAGCGCATTTGTTGTGAAATTAAGCGATATGCAATCATTCCTATATCTCAGACGGGTTTTCAGTTAAATTGTAAATCAGTTAAATTGTAATAACGAAAATGATTTAAATTAATATGTCGTTTACAATGTAATTTTAATTCATTTCATTTTCATTGTGTATATCTCTAAGTTTATAACTATATTTACTATACTAATATTTATACATTTGTAAACTGAAACAAATATGGTTAAGTAGGCAAAGGGAGAAATTGCAATGCCTAGGGCACATTTAGTACATATTGAAGCGTTTTCATGTCGTTACTCTAATTCAAAGTTGTTATAGCTCTACGACAAATAGAATATTTGATATCATGAGAGAAAATAATATTGCATTTATTGCATACTCATACTCATTCCGTTAAATTGAGTTTAATGTTTTGAAAATTTTATTTACAATATCTCGAAAGCTTTCTCTCACATTATGAATACCAATGACTTTGTACTTGTTGTGTCCATCATATTAAAAAGCAATTTTTCATTCACAATGATGGAGGAATCATCTCCTTTGGCTTCTTATAAATTGCAATAAACATCGTATGAATTCATACAAAAATTAAAAATCAAGGAAGTTGCATTTTGAATTTTCAAAATCCTGCAAAGAATATTTCATATTTTTCTTTCTAACTGGGCGTCTGAAATGGTTTTGGGCAGATATCCTGGCATTTACGACATTGTATAAAAATACCGTAATTAATCTGTAGGCAATAGAAACTTAGTTTATTTCAATACAGATATTGCCAGAAGAACCAACGCAGGATGTAAGAACCCTATGACGCGATTGTTGTCTTACTGTCTCCGGGAATGCATCACATCCGTTGTTTCCACCACACGTTTTTGTATCCATCCCTTCCGCATTCGTCTTCCCAAATCCTCTAATTATCGGATCACCAATATCCAGTCCTGACACCCAATAAAATTCCGGCATAAACCTTTAACATCTACGCTGTACTCAGCATCCCTCGTTGTCAGCTTTCACCGCCGCGCCGGTCCCGCCCCGCCCGACTCAGCCGAGCCGTGCGCATCACTGTCGAGAGACGCGGAGGCCCAACCCCCGCGGCGAGCCTCCCCTGTATCTCGTCGAGCTTTTCGTCGCAGCCCGGCTTTCGGGGCGCGGACAAGCGGCAAGAGGGGGGGGCGGAGTTCGCCGGAATCACCGATCACGCTGCCAGCTCGGGAAGACGGGCGGGCGGATCAGCTCGACGGGTGGAGAGCGGGCGGGTGATAAGTTGGCAGAGCGGGCGGGTGGCTGGTGAGCGAGAGGGCGGTAAACCAGGTGAAGCGGGCCAGGTAACAAGGTGAGGCGGGCGCAGGAGAACTGAACACGGCTTAGGTGGCTGGGCGGGCGCGCGGGATGGGAGAGCGAGCGCGAGGACAGGAGGTGAGTGAGAGGAGGGAGAGGAGAAGGGAGAGGGACGGGAAGAGCGGACAGGAGAGGGACAGGAGATCGG